GGCCCCCAAGACGGCCCAAGAGGGCTCCAAGACGGCCCCGGAGAGCTCCACGACGGCCCAAGAAAGGCCCCTGAGGGCGCCAGAAGGTTCCCAAGAGAGCCCCACGAGGCCTCAGGATGTCCCCCAGAGGGCCCCAGAGGGCTCCGCGCCAGACGGCCCAAGCCCTCCAAGACGGCCCAAGAGGGCCCCGGGATGACCCAAGAGGGTCCGAAGACGGCCCAAAGGAGCCCCAAAAGGACCCCCAAGAAGGCCCCGAGAGGCCATATTCATGGATGTTCGCAAGGTTTGCTGTTAGTTGTATATTGCGTACCAAAGTCTTGACACCACCAATGGGGCTCCAAGACACTGGGCAAGCGATCTCGCGCCCTCACAATGTACACTCGCTGTCTGTCGTCGTGCTAAGCAGGCGACGGAAAGAGCGAGGCATGCGTGGTGACGTTGAGTTGGGGTGAAGCCTTCTACGGAGGGGTCCAGGGGGAGGGTCTGATGGGTACTTCATGGCATGGAAGCCGAGTCGTGCTTGAGATGGTGCCACCTTTTCGGCACATCTTTTGAGTCCCTCAGCGCCGAGGGCGAGGGCGAGCCTGCGATCCATACAAGAGTTCGTGGACTCTTCGTGCGGTAGCCATTCTGGCCCAAGGTCAAGGCCTCACATTTCGCAAGCGCCCCAGTGCTGGACGGGTTGGACACGTACCTCCCAGCGTGCCTGCTGTTCAGTCGCAGCCTGGTGCAGACGATGAGCCTCTAGAAGACCATCGGGCGGCTCTTCATGGCAGCTGCCTCGGCCCCAACGGCGGCTTCGTTGCGGGATACGCGGGCCTTTGTCTGTTTCGGCGTAGGGCGTGGCCGATGGAAGCGGGGTCTACACCGGGATGGGCTATGCCGGTGGGGGCGTGTATCCTGGGACGGGGTATGCTGGCGGTGGGGAAGGCTGCTGCGGAGGTGTGGGCTGTGGCAACAGCTGCGGCGCGGACGGGTGCGGGGTGGGCGTGGCGCCCGCGTGCGGCGACGCGTGCTGCGGGGTCGCGGGCGCCAGCTGCGGGGGCATAGCCGGAACGACGATGTCGTATGTGGGCGCAGGCGGCGACTACATCGCCACCACCACCTACCAGTACGTGGGCCAGGGCGCGGGCACCTTCACCGTGGTGCCGATCCCCGCGGCTGGGTGCAGCGTCTGGTGGCTGTGCTGCCTCTGGTGGCTGGCGCTGCTCCCCTTCCTCTTCCTCGCGGGGACCACCACGACCACCACAACAACGCCCCCCATCATCATCAGCACCCCGCCTCCAGAGACCCCGCCGCCCATCGTGAACCCCACGCCGGCGCCCCCCGGGCCAGGGCCCGCGAAGCATTGCAAGATCTTCGGCGACCCGCACGTGATCACGTTTGATGGGCAGTCAGCGAGCTTCTACTCCCAGGGCGAGTACTGGACCGTGAAGAGCACCACCGTCTGGATCCAGGGCCGCTACATGCCGACTCCAGTGACCAACGGCCTCTCCGTCATGAAGGAGGTCGCGATCGGCGGCCCCTTCCTGGAGAGCAAGGACGGCACGAAGAACATCCTCCGCATCTCCTCTCTCAGTGCGACCTTCAACGACGTCCCCATCATCTCTGGCTTCCCGGACGCCTGGGAGAACCAGGATCCGATGATCAAGGTAGTCTCCGACGGCAACGGGCAGGTGATGCAGTCGAGCCGCTACGGCAAGCAGCTGCGCGTCGTGCACGTGGACCTGCCGCTGGGCGTCCACCTGGAGATCAATCGCTGGAACGAGCCAGGCGAGGGCGACTACATCAACACGATGATCACCATGAGCAAGCAGCCAAACCAGGATGGGCACTGTGGAAACTTCAATGGTGTGACCGAGGACGACACCCGGCCGCAGATCCGTGCCCGCATCGGCACCACGGGTGTCCCGCAAGAGGAATTGCTTTTCCACACCAAGACCCCCGTGACGCCCGCGAACCGGCCGGACCTGAACAACTGCCCCACCGACAAGACCGAGAACGCCAGGCAGATTTGCACGGGGAAGTCCAAGACCGGCATGCCCAACCATGACTGCATGGTGGACGTGTGTTTCGGCGGAGCGCACTTCGCGGATATGACCGACTACGACTAGTGAGGGGCGTGAGGCATCTTGACGAAGAGCAGACGACATAACCATGAATTTTCGCAGCTCCGCGCGGATTTCTTGAATCTGCGTAGGGCCCCTCTGGCGGCGCCTCCTGCGCCGCCCCTGGCGCGCTCCGCGCGGCAGGGAGGGGGGTCCAGCTCCGATCCAAGAAATTCGCGCGGGGCTCCGAACATTTATGGTTATCCAGCTGCCTGCGGCAAGTCCCGCTACCGTGCCAGCCCAGCATTCTGGGTGGCTGCTGTTTGGGGGTGTGAGAGCCGTGATGATGCTGATGATGATGGTGCTGATGCTGGTGATGATGGTGATGATGATGATGATGATGATGATGATGATGAAGATGACGATTGGTGCTTGATAGCGAAGATGATGATGATGATGCTGATGATGATAATGCTGCTGATGATGGTGATGATGATGAAGAGGAATAATATGCTTGATACCCCCGAATTTCTCTTGCTGCGAGATGAACAGCGCGTGCCCCCTCCCGACGCCGTGCTTGATCGATGCCAAAAGTGAGTCGTGCATCGCTACGCTGCCTGCTGATCATGCACCTATGCATGATATTCCTGACGAACTCACATATATTAGATTGATGATGGATGATGATGATGGTGACGATGATGATGACGATAATGATGACGATGCTGATGACGATGATGATGATGATGATGGACGACGACGACGTGGTTGATGATGGTGTTGATGCTGATCCTGATGACGCTGGTGATTATGCTGACGATGATGAGGGGGACGGTGAGTAGGATAATTATGATGACGACGGCGACAGCGTTTTTTGATGATGGACGATGATGAAGAATAGAAGCATGATAATTTCCATGCTGGTGCTGCTGCTGTTAATGATGATGATGATGCTGATGATGATGATGCTGATGCTGATGATGATGATGATGATGATGATGATGATGATGACAAGGACGATGTTGATGATGATGATGCTGCTGATGATGATGACGATGACGACGACGACGACAACGACGTTTTTGTTGATGATGGACGATGCTGATTATGGCGACGATGATGATGACGACGACGATGATGATGATGATGATGGTGACGACGGCAACGTTGTTGTTAATGCTGATGCTGATGATGCTGATGATAATGCTGACGATGATGAGGAGGACGAGGAGTAGGATAATTATGGTGACGACGGCGTCAGCGTTTCTGTTGATGATGGATGATGATGAAGAATAGCAGTATGATGATTTTCATGCTGGTGCTGCTGATGATGATGATGATGATGATGATGATGATGATGATGATGACGAGGCCGACGTTGTTGATGATGATGATGCTGATGATGATGCTGATGATTATGATAATGATGCTGCTGATTATGCTGATGCTGATGATGATGATGATGATGCTGATGATGATGATGAGGATGAGAAGGAGAAGGGGGAGGAGGAAGAGGAGGATGATGATGAGGAGGAGGATGAGGAGGAGCAGGAGGAGGACGCTAATGGGGATGATGAGGATGTCGAGGATGAGAATGAGGTTGAGGATGAGAATGAGGGTGGTGGTGATGATGATTATGATGATGAGGCGGAGAAGGAGCAGGATCAGGAGGAGGAAGAGGAGCAGGAGCAGGAGCAGTTGGAGGAGGTGGAGGAGGAGGAGGAGGAGGAGGAGCAGGAGCATGAGCAGGAGCAGGAGGAGGAGGAGGAGGTGGAGGAAGAGGAAGGTCGTCATAGGTGACACTTTTCGTATTCACTATGTGAGGAGCTCTCATGGAACTCGTTTGGGCCGTCTTGGGTTGTTTGGGCCTCCTGTGAGGCAGTCGTGGGGGTCCCTTGAGCCCTCTTGGGCCGTCTGGGGCCCTCTTACGCCGTCTTGGGGCTCTCTTGGGATGCCTCTTGGAAATCAATGATTTTGGCTTCTTCGGACCGTGGCCCGTTTGGGCTCTCTTGGAGGCATCTCGGGTCGTCTTGAGGCCCATTTGGCCGCCTCGGGGCCATCTCGGGCCGTCTTCGAGGCACCTTGGGCCATTTTTGGTGTCCTCGGTTGCCTGCATGGGCCGTCCTGGAAGCTCGGGACGCGGATCGGGAGGGGTCCTTTGTTAGATACAGAAGCCCTACCGGACAGCCCTTGGCATCTATGCACGCCTAAACGTGCACAAGGCACGTTGGCGGATTCCGTTCTCTCTTCCACTAGCATCGCAGTGGTGAGTCGGGTTGCTCTGCTGCATCTCACGGAGCTTCCATGCCAAGTATTTGTGAGCAGGGTCGTCCGACTCCGGGACCGGAGCAGGATCCACCATTCTGCCGCAACTGCTTTGAGCAGCGTCACGGACAAAGAGTGCCTGACTCTGCCGAAGCAGTTTTATTTTTTGGGACGCATGCGCTTGATAGCCGTTGGCGCTAGAGTCCTTCGTGTAGAGATCGGGCCCGATCAAGTCGGGTCAGCCGAAAAAGCAGTTCATGCGTGCTGGCGGTTCCTCTTTCTCTCAGGGCCCCTTTCTGCCGGCGTATCGCGGGAACGAGGGCAGCGGCCCAGACGGCACAAAAATATGAGCCCGCGCCGGAGTAGAATTCGGCCACGAGGGCACGGGTCGGACGCGAGGGCGCGGGCCAAGAGAGAGGCACGGGCCACGAGCGACCGAGATCGCCTCGGCAGTGGGGAAGCACGGCCTGGACTGGGTGCTACGGGCCCTTCCCCAGACCTCGATTTTTGGTGCTGGTTTTTGGGCGGCCCTCCTTTGGCTCGTCGGCCAGGGGTCCGAAAACGGCCAGTGCCGAAGGCAAAGCGTGCTGAAAAAGCAGCAGAGCCGATCCGAATTCATTTCGACTGCCAGGTGTCTCCGCGAGGTCTGACTAATCAGGCAGGGCCTATCCCTTCCCGGCGGTATCCATGAAGACGGCGTAGGGGATTGGAATGGGGCGCGACGCAGCAGCTGCTGACCGATTTTGGGGCCATCTTGGGGTCTCTTGGGGCCATCTTGGCCGTCTTGGAGACCATCTTGGGCGTCCTTAGGCCTCTCGGGCGGTCTTTGGGCTCCCTTGGGGCCGTCTTGGGGGCCTCTTGGTCCGGGCCTCTTGGGCCGTCTTGGGCCATCTTGAGGCCATCGTACTTCGTCTTGAGTGCATCTTGAGCCGTCTTGGAGATATCTTGCGACCATTTTGGGCTGTCTCGGGGCCTTCGTGGCCATCTTGGAGGCGTCTTGGGACCATCTTGGAGGCCATCTTGGCTGTCTTGGAGGCGATTTGAGCAATGGGCTCTGGATTTTCCCCAGCTTTCCGGGTGGCCGGCGCTTTGGGCCGAAGCCCCAGTGGGAGGTTTTTAGAAAAGAGCCACATTTTGCCAGACGTTTGGCACGCCAGGCACCCCTGTGGCAAGCCACAGGGGGCGGCGGATGACGGAAAGCGCGCGTCGCTTCACGATCCGTTAGTCGGGAGAAATAGGAGGGGGAATGTGAGGCGGTTGGCCACTGGGGACCCAGATGACGGAAAGCGTGCGCAGCGTCGCGATCTGTTATTTGTGAGAAATAACAAAGGGGAGTGTGAGGGGGTCGGCAGGACCAGTCCCAGATGACGGAAAGCGCGCGTAGCGTCGCGATCCGGCAGTGGGAGATTTAGCAAGGGGGAGTGTGATAGGGGTTAGCAGGACCCTCCAGATGATGGGAAAAAAAAACTCCTTCCAAAAAAAAAAAAAAAAAAAAAAAAAAAAACAAAAAAAAAAAAAAAAAAAAAAACAAAGAAAAAAAAAAAAAAAAAAAAAAAAAAAAAAAAAAAAAAAAAGCGCGTGTAGCGTCGCGATCCGTTCGTAGAGAGAAATATCAAGAGGGAGTGTGAGGGAGTTAGCAGAACCCGTCCCAGATGACGGTAAGCTCGCGTAGCGTCGCGATCCGTTAGGTGGGAGATTTAGCAAGGGGGAGTGTGAGGGGGCTGGCAGGACCCGCCCCGAATGTAGTGGCCACAATTTTCGGCCATGTTCGGCCCCAGACGGCTTGGCCCCAAGAGCGCCCAAGACGGCTCAAGACGGCCCCAAGAGCGCCCAAGCCACCGCCACGACGGCCTCAGGGAGACCCAAGAGGGCCCCAAGACGGCCCGAGAGCGCTCGAAGAGGGTTCAGGATGGCCTCAAGACGGCCAAAGAGGCCCTCAAGACACTCCACGAGGCCTCCAAAAGGACGCCCCAGAGGCATTTCTTTGTCCACAACGGCCCAAGAGACCTCCGGAATCGCCCCAAGACGGCAAAGAGGCCGCCAAGACGGCCCAAGATGGCTCCAAGACGGCCCCGGAGAGCTCCACGACGGCCCAAGAAAGGCCCCTGAGGGCGCCAGAAGGTTCCCGAGAGAGCCCCACGAGGCCTCAGGATGTCCCCCAGAGGGCCCCAGAGGGCTCCGCGCCAGACGGCCCAAGCCCTCCAAGACGGCCCAAGAGGGCCCCGGGATGACCCAAGAGGGTCCGAAGACGGCCCAAAGGAGCCCCAAAAGGTGACCCAAGAGGGTCCGAAGACGGCCCAAAGGAGCCCCAAAAGGACCCCCAAGAAGGCCCCGAGAGGCCATATTCATGGATGTTCGCAAGGTTTGCTGTTAGTTTTCTATATTGCGTACCAAAGTCTTGACACCACCAAGGGGGCTCCAAGACACTGGGCAAGCGATCTCGCGCCCTCACAAAGTACACTCGCTGTCTGTCGTCGTGCTAAGCAGGCGACGGAAAGAGCGAGGCATGCGTGATGACGTTGAGTTGGGGTGAAGCCTTCTACGGAGGGGTCCAGGGGGAGGGTCTTCTGATGGGTACCTTCATGGCATGGAAGACGAGTCGTGCTGAGATGGTCCACCTTTTCGGCACATCTATTGAGCTCCATCAGCGCCGAGGGAGCGAGGCGAGCCTTGATCATATACAAGAGTTCGGACTCTTCGTGCGGTAGCCATTCTGGCCCAAAGGTCAAGGCTCACCCGCGCAGCGTCCTGTTGGACAAGTACCTCCCAGGTTGCCTGCCGGCAGTCGCCAGGCTGGTGAGACGATGAAGACCTCACCCCTCCCCTCGCTGGTGCTCGTGGCGGCTCTTCATGGCAAGCGCGGGCCCCAACGGCGCTTCGTTGCGGGATCACGCGGGCCTTGGCGGTGCTGGCGTGGGCGGTGGCGCGATGGGCAGCGGGGTTCTACCACGTGGATGGGCTATGCGGTGGGGGGGCCGGTATCCTGGAAGGGGTATGCATGCGGTGGGGAAAGGCTGCTGCGGAGGTGTGGGCTGTGGCAACAGCTGCGGCGCGGACGGGTGCGGGGTGGGCGTGGCGCCCGCGTGCGGCGACGCGTGCTGCGGGGTCGCAGGCGCCAGCTGCGGGGGCATAGCCGGAACGACGATGTCGTATGTGGGCGCAGGCGGCGACTACATCGCCACCACCACCTACCAGTACGTGGGCCAGGGCGCGGGCACCTTCACCGTGGTGCCGATCCCCGCGGCCGGGTGCAGCGTCTGGTGGCTGTGCTGCCTCTGGTGGCTGGCGCTGCTCCCCTTCCTCTTCCTCGCGGGGACCACCACGACCACCACAACAACGCCCCCCATCATCATCAGCACCCCGCCTCCAGAGACCCCGCCGCCCATCGTGAACCCCACGCCGGCGCCCCCCGGGCCAGGGCCCGCGAAGCATTGCAAGATCTTCGGCGACCCGCACGTGATCACGTTTGATGGGCAGTCAGCGAGCTTCTACTCCCAGGGCGAGTACTGGACCGTGAAGAGCACCACCGTCTGGATCCAGGGCCGCTACATGCCGACTCCAGTGACCAACGGCCTCTCCGTCATGAAGGAGGTCGCGATCGGCGGCCCCTTCCTGGAGAGCAAGGACGGCACGAAGAACATCCTCCGCATCTCCTCTCTCAGTGCGACCTTCAACGACGTCCCCATCATCGCTGGCTTCCCGGACGCCTGGGAGAACCAGGATCCGATGATCAAGGTAGTCTCCGACGGCAACGGGCAGGTGATGCAGTCGAGCCGCTACGGCAAGCAGCTGCGCGTCGTGCACGTGGACCTGCCGCTGGGCGTCCACCTGGAGATCAATCGCTGGAACGAGCCAGGCGAGGGCGACTACATCAACACGATGATCACCATGAGCAAGCAGCCAAACCAGGATGGGCACTGTGGAAACTACAATGGTGTGACCGAGGACGACACCCGGCCGCAGATCCGTGCCCGCATCGGCACCACGGGTGTCCCGCAAGAGGAACTGCTTTTCCACACCAAGACCCCCGTGACGCCCGCGAACCGGCCGGACATCACCAATATGCCGATAGACAAGACTGAGAGGGCCGAGGAGCTCTGCACGGGGAAGTCTAAGACCGGCATTCCCAACAAAGACTGCATGATCGACGTGTGCTTCGGAGGGGAGCACTTCGCAGACATGACCGACTACGACTAATTAGGCGATGGACGGCGCGCAAAGACACTCGCGAGCCATGCTGCTCTGCCGCATCTCGTGGAGGTGTCATGTCGTGCACTGTAACCAGGCAGAGGCAGACGGTGCCGGCGCCCGAGTCAGGCTCACCACTCTGCCGCATTTTTTTTGCTCACCGCCGGCGGCTCGAAGCTGCGTGGCCATGGGAAGGGCAATGGTTATCCGCAGGGGCTGGACAAAGCTACCTGTCTCAGCGGGGAAGCTCGCAGACCATGTTCTCCGTTTCTGTAGCATGGGTTGAGAGGTGAAACAAATCATTCTCGAAGGTTGTGGAGAGGGGGTATGAGCAAAGTGACTCCAATCGGAGACTCGATTTCGGTTCCAGGTCGTGTCGAGCGTGCGGGCGATGCGCATCTGCGAGGGCCCTGGGGCCAAGTCGGGCAATTGAATTTCTTTCTCTTCTCCCAGTGTTCCGCGGGGTTTGCCCGTGGTTGTCATGTGGTTTGTCCCGTGGGTTGGGCCGTGGGCTGTCCCGTGGGCTGTTCCGTGGATGTCCCGTGGTTGTTGTCCTGCGGGTTGTCCCATGTGTTGTCCCGTGGTTGTCCCGTCGTTGTCTTGTGGGTTGTTCTGCCAGTCGTCCAGCGGTTGTCCCATGTTCAGTGAGATTTGGATTCAAATTGTTGTCGCTTCGCGAATCCCCACCAGCCCATCCAGAAACGATGCCCAGAGGAATTGCCTCGATCAGAGAAGTGGGCAGCACACAGAGGAAGCCATTATGAGACATCTTGGGATATCTTGAGCCATCTTGGAGGTCATTTTGGGCTCTCCCAGACGCTCTTGGAGTCATCTTAATCCGTGCCCCCCCCCAAGAGGCCTCCATGTGGCTAAAACCTGTGTAGAATCAATGATTAGGCATTCTCGCCGAGGCCTCTTGGAGCATCTTGGGTGCATCTGGGGGGGCTCTTGGGGCCTCTTGGGGGTCTCTTGGGGGCCTCCGGGGGGCCTCTTGGGGGCCTCTTGGGGCCATTTTGGGGCCATCTTGGGACCTCTTGGGGCTTCCTGGGCGCTTCTTGGGGCCATCTTGGAGGAGTCGATCAAACAAGAGGGGGGGGTGAATTAGCGCCCCCCCTCGGAAGCCCCTAAAATCGCCTCTTGGACCCCTCTTGGAACGCTCTTGGAGTGCTCTTGGGCGCTCTTGGGGCCGTCTTGGGGCTCTTTTGGGGCTCTCTTGGGGCCCTCTTGGGCCATCTTGGAGCCATCTCCAGGCCTCGGATGGCCATCGGAAGCGAAAAGGCGAGAAAGCAAAAATCATTGATTTTCCTTAGGTTTTGGGACGATTTTGGCCTCTTCGGGGCCTCCTTGGGGAGCTGTTTGGCCACTTGGAGTTATCTTGGGGCCGTCTTTGGGCTTCTTGGAACCATCTTAGGAGCCATCTCGAGCGATCTTGCGCTATCTTGAGCCATCTTGGAGCTCATCTTGGGTTCTCTGAGGCGCTCTTGGAGCCGTCTTGGGCCATCTTGGACGCTCTAACTACCGCGGCCCCCCCCGTCCAGGTCCAGGGGGAGGGGGTAGGGGGAGGGGTAAACCCCCCCCCCAAGGGGGAAGAGGGAGGGGTGGAAGAGGATCTGCTCTAGACCACCTACGCCCAGAGGGCTGGTGGGATTCAGTTCGAAATTATACCCGAACTGCAAATTCAATGATCAGCGAAATGCGAGCCAGCATGCACATCGAAGTGCTCCTATCATGCGCATCCAATTTCAATCGACATGTCAGTCAAATGCCAAATCTATATGTATGTGTGTGTATACACACACATATATATACCTATATATATATATATATATTATATATATATATATATATATATGGGTAGGCGGGGGGGAACAAAATCGGTGCTGTTATCCCCCATGGCCCCCCCGAACCTTTGGGGGGTCACAGACCCCCCGGGACTGCCCCCGGCCGCTTCCAAATTGCCCACGACAGGCCACGCGGCCCGTACAGATGGCCAAGAAAGCCTCAAGAGGCCCCGAAGACGCCCAAGAGCGCCCCAAGAGGGCCTGTGAGGGCCCCAAGAGGGCCTTCAAGAGGCAAACATCGGCCCATTCCCCTCGTAAAACGTACATTATCGGCATACTCGCTGGCTTCGTCTTCACAATGCCCCAGACGCCCCCGAGGAGCCCCAACACAGCCCAAGAGAGACCTAAGAGGGCCCCAGACGGCCCAAAAGGGTCGTCCTGTGGGGCTCACGGAACCACCCGAGACGGCCCAAGAGGCCTCAAGGCCGGCCCAGGAGGCCCCCAAGACGGCCTTAGGGAGGCCCAAGAGGGCCTCGTTCGAAATCATGTTCCCGGAAGCCTCTCCTGGAACATGATTTCCGGGTTCCCAGGACGCCCAAGAGGCCCCAGACAGCCTCAGCGAGGCCCCAGAGGGCCCGAGATGGCTTGAAGATGGCCGAAGAGGGCCCCGAGAGGGCCTTCAAGAGGCAAACATCGGCCCATTTCCCTCGTAAAACGTACATTTTCGGCATACTCGCTGGCTTCGTCTTCGCAGTGCCCCAGACGCCCCCCGGAGCCCCAAGACAGCCCAAGAGAGACCCAAGAGGGCCCCAGACGGCCCAAAAGGGTCGTCCTGTGGGGCTCACGGACCCCCCCGAGACGGCCCAAGAGGCCCCAAAGCCGGCCCGGGAGGCCCCCAAGACGGCCTCAGGGAGGCCCAAGAGGGCCCCGTTCGACATCATGTTCCCGGAAGCCTCTCCAGCAACATGATTTCCGGGCTCCCAGGGCCCCTCAGAGGGCCCCAGGACAGCCTCAGCGAGGCCCCAGAGGGCCCGAGATGGCTTGAAGATGGCCGAAGAGGGCCCCAAGAGGGCCTTCAAGAGGCAAAAGTCAGCCCGCCCCCGTAGTAAAACTTACATTTTCAGCATACTCGCTGGCTTCGTCTTCGCAGTGCCCCAGACGCCCCCGAGGAGCCCCAAGACAGCCCAAGAGAGACCCAAGAGGGCCCAAGACGGCCCAAAAGGGTTGTCCTGTGGGGCTGACGGAACCCCCCAAGACGGCCCAAGAGGCCCTAAAGCCGGCCCGGGAGGCCCCCAAGGGCCTCAGGGAGGCCCAAGAGGGCCCCGTTCGGCATCATGTTCCCGGAAGCCTCTCCGGGAACATGATTCCTGGGTTCCCAGGAGGCCCAAAGACAGCCCCCAGAGGCCCCAGACACGCCGAAGATGGCCTCAGGACGGCCGACGACGCCGCCAAAGCGCCCCAAGAGCGCCTCCAGAGGTCCCTCCAAAGGGCCCCAGAAGCCGAACATCACAAATTTTCCAATGGTTTTTGAAACATTCTTGCGCTCTCCCATGTTCCGCCTCCCCACGGTCCCGGACCGCGTCAGAGGCCCTTCAGATCGCTCCAAGACGGCCGAAGAGGCTCACAAGAAAGCCCAGAGACGGCCCGGGAGGCTCCCCAGATGTAAGGCAAGAGGGCCTCGAGAGCGCCCCAAGAGAGCTCCAAGAGCGACCCAAGAGGGCCCGAAGAGCGCGACATTTCGAGGTCTCTGGCCTGAGAGGCTCCTAGGACGCCCCCGGAGGCCATCAAGAGGCTCCCAAGAGGCCCCGTGAGGCTCCCAAGAGGCACCTGGGAAGCCCCAGTAGGCCTCCAAGGGACCCCCAGGGAAGCCCCCTGCGGGCCCCCAAGACACCTCGGTAAATCGTATTTCCCATATAGCTTTCAAAGGAACATGATTCCTTGAGCTTCCGCCCACCGCCTCATCCATGTTTCCGATAGGCTTACCGACAATGCCAAAAGGCGCCCCTCGGTAAGCCCTCAGAGGCCCCCCCTCGTAGAGAGCCGAACAAATCATGCTCCCGGAAAGCTTCCCGGGAACATGATTCTCTATCTCGGAGTAGGCCCGGGGGGGGGGGCGGGCCGCTGGTTGTTCCCCCCATCGGTGCCCACCAAGGGTTGCGGGGGTGTCTAGAGCTCCCGAGGCGGCCCGAGCCCGCCCCGAAGCAGGCCACGACAGGCTAAGGGGGTCCCGAGAGGACCCAAGACGGTCCCACGAGGCCCCGAAGACGCCCAAGATGCCCTCAAGACAGCCGACGAGGACTCCAACACGCTCCAGGACGGACTCAAGAGGCTCCCCAAGAGGGCGCTGGAAGGCAAGATTCACTCGTTTTCCGAGTGTTTTGGATTTTAGCGTTCTCGCTTTTGCCGCTTTCCAGCGCTCCCTCACGGCCTCGGAGGCCTTTCAGATCGCTCCAAGAAGGCCCACGAGGCCCCGACGAGGGCCCCAAGACGGGACAGGATGCTCCCCAGTCAACCGAAGTGTGCCCCAAGAGTGCGCCAAGAGAAGGCCCAGAGGGGGACCGCCAACCGATATTTCGAGGTCTCTGGCCCTAGAGGCCGCCTGTAGGCCCCCGGAGGCCACCAAGAGGCTCCCACGAAGCCCCGTAAGGCGCCCAAGAGGCCCCCAGGAAGCCCCAAGAGACCCGCAAGGGGCTCCCAGGGAACGCCCAAGAGGCCCCCCAACACACCCCAAGAAATCATGTCCCCAGAAAACCTTCCGGGGACATGGTTCATCATGGGCCCGAGAGTTCCCAGAGGCCCCCAAGGGGCCCCCAGGGAACGCTCACCAAGAGACCCCCCAACACACCCCAACAAACCATGTCCCCAGAAAGCCTTCCGGGGACATGGTTCATCATGGGCCCGCGAGTCTCCGGAGGCTTCGAAGTACCATCATGCTACAGGAGAGCTGTCTGGGAAGTTGATTCGGAACATGACTGATCGCCTTCTCGCGGCCCTCCGCAGATCGTTTCGCACAAAGTTGCCCCAAGTGCCCTCTTGAATCGACGACGACGACGAAACGACGAAGACGAGGACTACGACGACGACGACGACGGCGCGCCCCAATAGGCGACGACGACATTACGACGACGACGACGGCACGCCCCAACAGGCTCCCCAAGACGCCCCAAACCCATGCTCCCAGAAGGCCTTCTGGGAACCCGATTCATACGGCCTCCGCCCCCC